CCGCCTCCTCCTCCTCCCTGTCCTTCTCCTCCTCCTCCTCCTCCTCCTCCTCCCTGTCCTTCTCCTCCTCCTCCTCCTCCTCCTCCTCTCCCCTCCCCCCTCCTCCTCCTCCTCCTCATCCCCATCCTAATCCTCTTCCTCCTCCTCCACATTCTCCTCCACGTGCGCCCTGTCTCGCTCCTCCCGTCGCCCTCCTCCCTCGTCCAACCCCATTCCTCCTCGTCTTCCTCGTCCTCCTCCTCCTCCTCCTCCTCCTGATCCACCTGTTCATCCTCGTCCTCCTCCTATTTCTACGTTACACCGATGTTGATCAAAAACGATCGCAGCGTCCTCCCTCCACCTCACTCCTCCCCCTCCTAGTTATCCTCCTCCTCCTCTTCCTCCTCCTCCTCCTGTTCCTCCTCCTCGTCCTCCGCCTCCATATTCTCCTCCCCGTGCAGCTTGCCAACCTCCTCCCGCTTCCCTCCTCCTTCGTCCTCCCGTCCCCCTGGTCCTCCTCCTTGTCATCCGCCTCCTCATCCTCGTCATCCTCCTCTTTGTACGTTGGGCCGATGTTGATCCTCCTCCTCCTCTTTGAACGATCGCCGCGTCTGGAGTCCTCCTCCTCGTCCTCCTCCTTTTCCTCCTCCTCGTCCTCCTTTTCATCCTCATCCGCATCCTCACCTTCATCCTCCTCATCACCACTGTCATAGGCACATTCGGTGTCGTCGGCAAAAGCATACTCATCAACAACATCATAGTCATCGCGGTGTCATAAGTTCAGTCGCCAGCATCGTCCACAACACCACTTCGCCATGATCGTTAGCATCGTCATCATTGTTGTCGTCGACAGCATCGTCACCACCACCATCATCATGATGAGCATCATCATCACAGCCAGCATCATCACCAGCATCAGCATCACCAGCTTCAACCGCTTCATCATCATCGGTATCAACATCAGCATGAGCATCAACATCAGCGTCATCATCATCAGCATCAGCATCAGCATTATCATCATCAGCATCGTCATCAGCATCATCATCGTGATCGTCATCGTCATTGGCATCGTCATATCCATCATCCTCACCATCCTCATGATGGTCAGCAGCATCCTCAACATCATCATCAGCACCAGCATCATCGGTTGCATCATCCGCATCATCATCGTCGTCCCCGCCATCATCCGCATCAGAATCCTTCTCATCGTCAAGATTGTCATGAGCATCATCACCATCACCATCATCATCATCATCATCATCATCATCATCAGCATCATCATCAGCATCACCATCATCATCATCATCGGCGTCGACGTGGTAATCACCACCATCACGACCATCACGACCATCAACAACATCAACATCATCATGCATGCTTTAATCATCGCCGGCATCATCATCAGCATCAACAGCAGCAGCATCAACATCATCAGCCCAAGAATCGCCCGCAGCAAAACGATAGTCATCACCATACGCAGCAGCATCATCAGCATCGCCAATGTCACCGTCATCATCATCCTGCGTCATCGTCATTATCATCACCAGCGTCGCCATCATCATAGTCATCGCCATCGGCACCAGCATCAGCATTATCATCAGCATCATAGTCAGCATCAGGATGAGCATCCTCATCCTCGTAATCATCATCATCATCATCATCATCAGCAGCAGCAGCATCATCATCATCATCATCATCATCATCATCATCATCATCATCATCAGCAGCAGCAGCAGCAGCAGCAGCATCATCATCATCATCATCATCATCATCATCATCATCATCATCATCATCATCATCATCATCATTACCATCAGCATCATCATAATCGCCATAGCCTTCCTCATACTCCACATCATCATCGTCATCGTCGTCGTCAGCTTCATCAGCAGCAGAAGCAGCATCAGCACCGCCACCATCAGCATCATCATAAGCAGAATGAGCATCATCGAAAACATCAGCACCAACAGCATCGTCATCAAGATCAGCCGCAGCAGCATCATCGTCAACATCGTCATCATAATCGTCATCAACATCACCATCAACATCGCCATCAGCATCGTCAACGCCATCATCATCATCATCATCATCATCATCATCATCATCATCATCAGCAGCATCATCATCATCATCATCATCATCATCATCATCAGCAGCATCGTCATCGTCATCACCATCAGCCTCCGCCTCCTCCTCCTCCTCTCATCATCATCATCATCAGCAGCATCAGCATCAGCATCAGCATCAAGATCAGCATCATGATCATCATCATGTTCACCGCAGGCGTGGGTTGGACCTGGGCGCTCAACCGGGGGGGGCCCTTGTGCACGCGCGTGGCTCCTGGATGTCGGTCTGGAGGTGAATACGTGGTTGCGGAGATCGCCTTCAACATACATGATACACTTCTGCACCCAAGCCAGGCAAGGAGACCGTCGACAGGTGCAGGATCGGTCGAGGACTATTACAGTTCTGTTCGCTATAGCGTCTACTCCTTCATCGTACTTCCCTTCGCCCACTACGTCCACGACTTCCTTTGCAACTACCCCAGCCTCCTGATCCTCCTCCTCCTCCTCCTCCTCCTCCTCCTCCTCCCCCTCCCCATCCTCCTCCTCCTCCTCCTCTTCCTCCTCCTCCTCCTCATCCTCCTTCTCCTCCTCCTCCTCTTCTACTTCCATGTTGTTCGCAATAAACGACGTGCAAAATGGCTGGCGTGGGACGCGTCCCCAATCACAATTCCAATCATAGTCACTGCACATGTCCGATGGCCACGACAAGCGTTCAAACAGTCCGGGATGAAATTCAACCATACACGAAGCTGTGAAATTGAAGCATTTCGGAACCGGAAAAATCGAAGCTAAACAGCGGGCGTGGCGCAGTGCGCTTTCAGTCCCCAGGCGGGCTCAAAATTAGATGGCTGCTACATGTCATGCCGCTGGTTTCCTTAGAGCAACCCAGATGCCATCTAGGTCGCCCACCATTTGGATTCTCACTTCAATGCTGTGCTTTTGCAAGAAAGACAGACTCGACCTCAAGCGGATGTTTCACTGGGCGGGGCAGCGACGGTGTGTTCCCTTGCCCCCCCCTCCCCCACCACCACCCCAATAGACCCCGCCCTCCCGCCGCCCTGCAACGGAGAGCACAAGCAGCGCCGTCGCCGCGCAGAGCGCGACGGACCAGTTGGCGCGACGAGCGGGCCGGCCACCCCGGCCCGCGCAGAGCCCGCGCGCCTAAGCACGCTCGCGGGCACGCGTTCGTGGACCGAACAAATCACGAGGGTCCCTCCGACCCCAGCGGGCGCGGGCTAGAAACCAAAGCCGAAGCCGAGGGCACGTTTGCAGCCGCGCGCGCCCCGGCCTGGTGGGCAGGCGCGCGCGTGCCCTCCTCGGCCACGGGGCAACGAAAACCGCGCCCGAGCCCCAGAGACGGCGGCGCGCGCGCATGCCCAATAGGCCACCCACTACAGGGCCCACAACTGTGGCCACTTCTTGTATTGGGAAGAAGTCCCCGGCGAGAGTATCATTTTCAGTGGCGTTGTCCCAGCCACCGGACTAGAAGACGATCGGGAGCGGCGGGCGATCCAGCAGACCTACAGTGGCCACACAAGAAATAATGGTCACACCGACGCAGTGTGGTAGTCACACAGAAAATAGCGGTCACATCGGCGAAAAATACTGGCCACGCTGACAATGAATCGTGGTCGCGCAAGTGTAATAATCACATCGACATGCAACAGGGGTGACAACCGCGACAACTGTGATCACGTCGGTCGCGCCCTCCTTCGCCCGCGCACCCTCTCCTCGTTAAACTCGAGACAGGGGCTCGCGCTCTCGGCATTCACATCGACCCCCGTGCCCACATGCGGGCTTCCATGCCCAAGCGATTCGGGCGCCCGCGCTGACTCGGGCGCCCTCATGACAGATCCACAACACTCTAAAACCAATGTGCCCATAGGAAATGCGACGCGCGACGATTCCAACACGCTGGCGCGCCGTTTCGCGAGACGCGCCGAACCTTTCCCTCAATATCACATTTTTATGCTGAAAATCCTGGGAACACCGCTTTGCTGAATTTAAGAAACTGGCGGAATGACTAGATTGTATCGCTGATTTCATGTTCCTGTACAGGAGCCATGTCGCTTTTTTAATCGGCGGCGCGGAAGGCCCTCTGGCGCGGACGGCAAACGGAAGCGCCCAATGCGATCGAGCACGATCGAAGGCACAGTGCCCAGATGCGCGCGCTGTCCAATGCAGCGATGGGCGGCGCAGAGGGAAACTGCAAATCCAAACGAAGCGCGCAGCGGCCAGACACCCGAGGAGTCAACTCGAGGGGCCAGGTCGCAGGCAGGCATCCGTGGGCAGCGCCGCCCTGCTGACCCAGCTATGGGCAGCGCGCGGCGCGGCCGGGGCCCCGCTGGGCTGCTGCCCGCAAACGGGCTCCCAGGCGGGCTGCGCGGGCCTTCCTCATCCGGGCAGCCTCTTTCTCCTGCTCCTTCTCTTCCTCCCTCCCCCCCCCTCCCAGAAGGACGACGACGAGACGGGCGACGAGAAAGAGAGGAAGGAGGACAACAACGACAACCAGAACGCAGAGAAAGGAACAGCAGGAGCGGAAGCCTTGGTACAAGGAAATGGGGGGGTCCCAGCGTGAGAGGAAGCGGCTTAGGAGGACGACGAGCATGGGGAAGACGATCATGGGGAGGAAGGCCCAGCGTCAAGATCGCATAAGAAGAAGGCGGGGGAGAAGGAGGAGGAGGACCCAGCAGCAGCATGGGGAGGAGCCATTGAGGGGAGGACGACGACAGGGCGGGGGACGAGCAGTTGGAGGGGCTAAGGCAGGAGGAGCACCAAGCGCCAGGAACCAGGGCGAGGAGCACGGGGACGGGGGGGGGCACGAGGAGGCCCCAGCATCAGGGAGAACGACAGCGAGGACGACAAAGACAACGACGACAACCACCACCACCGCGGAGGCGGCGACGGCGATAATGCCGACGCCGATGGCGACGGCGACGGCGTGCGACTGCGAGCCTCGGACGACACCTCGGCTGCCGCCGCGGCCTCGGCCGCGCCCGCCGCGGCAGCGGCGCTGGTGCCCTGCTCCCCGAGCGCCAGCACTCCTTGCGGCCAGCAACCCGCCGCCCGCGAGAGGCCGACGACGCCGTCGAAGCCGACGCCGACGCCGAAACGGAACGCCGACGACGACGGTGACAGAGATCGAGAGGCTGTTGGACGTCCTTGACTCTGCTGTGGGGGCTCACGGGGGGCTCCAAAGACCGCCCGGAGGCCTCCGGAGAATGCGGCGGAGCAGGCAGCGTCGTTTCGGAGGTTTCGGGGGGCTCGCGGCGCCATGGCCGGCCGTGACTCAAAAATTTGTTAGGTGGGGCCCCAGCAGGGGCACACGTCCTGAGACAAACTTTACGAGAATCTGGTCAAACGACGGCGACGGCGACTGCGACGCCTGCGGGGAACACAACGCCGATGACGGCGCTGGCTACGACGATGGGGACGACGAAGGCGACTGCGACGACGACGACGACGACGACGACGACGACGACGATGACGATGACGACGACGAAAATGACGACAACGACGACGACGGAAACATCGACGACCGCGGGAGTGTCGGCGACGGCGGCGACGGTAAGGGGGAAGAGGAGGAAGAGGAGGAAGAGGAGGAAGAGGAGGAGGAGGAGGCCGTGTTTTTTTATGGTGCAACATCTAGCCTGCACAGCACGCTGCCACAACCAACCCTTTGCTCATTTGCAGCTGGTACTGTGCCACCAGACGGCACATATGTTGAAATGGGCGGGGACATGGTGGTGGGGGTTCATCTACAGGGTTGTTGGCGGAGGAGAAGTGCACACAAGCTGACTTTCTTTTTTGCTCCACAATCGTGGACACGTGAACAATTTGCCCACGCGCACGGTGTGGAGCACATGCTGCACACCGTCCCTTTGTAGCAGCACTACTTGTTACCTTGCGCGCATTGCCTGCTCGTGCCTTGCATACTCCTCAAAACGGACATATTGGTTCCACTTCTTAGGGGGTCGGAATCCGCCGGCCCCCGTGTGGGGCCACCAGGCTGTAGGACCAGGGTGGCTGTTCCCTGCGCCAATTCCAGGTTCCTGCTTCCAGTGTTACAATATTGCTCTATGTTGCTTACTACTCCTTGTTGTGGACCGCGCGAGGGGGGGAGCCGAAAAACAGCAAACCTAGCGTCTCCTGGGAAGAGTTCTCAAAATTTCTGGGGGGGCGAAATTGACACCCATCACGCAGATCGGCGGGGTCAGGGTCCAAAAACACATGGGACTTGCCACAGTTCTAAAATTCGAATCACCCCTCACGCAACTCGGCGGAATCAGGGATTTGACGCATTTGTGAAATTCAAAACACCCCACACGCAAATCACTCGTGCTGGACACCTCCTTCGTGGTAGCGATGGGACGGACCCCTCCGCAGCGAAGTTCAGCGACACCAGCTCCCCCATGGAGCATTTCCCCGAATGCGAAATGGACGCGCAGGGGATGTGCGACTCCATCGTCGTGGTCAGGGATGTGACCACCACTACAGAAAAATCATCTTCATGAAGACCCTCTTCTAGGAGGGGGCAAGGGTGGGAAGTATTCGCAGATGCGCAAGGGTACGCACAATGCGAAGATCACTTCTCAGATCGCAGCGCTGCAGGACGCGATGCACAGCCTGGCGGCACAGGTGGGAGCATCGTGGCCTTGGGGCGCCAGCCACTTTTGAACCACAGAAGAAGGCACCGACGACGAGAGCGCGAAGGAAAGACCCACGCTTGCTCACTCGTCTCAAAAAACTCATCCAGCAGGCTGACAACATGGAGCAGCCACCCACACACAATGCTGTTCTTCTCGGGCTACGGGGTTTGCTCGAGAAGTACGACACTACACCTTCGGCGACCGAGGCTAAGGACACCACGAAGACCCCGCCAGTCAGCACTACCAAGTACAAATTGCGCCAACACCCGGGGGGGGAAATCATAGGTTTGGTCCGTTTCCTTTGTGAAGGATCGCACGTTTGATCCGAAGATGCCGCCAGTTGTGACCTGCCAGACCTTAGACGAATATGAGAATGCACAGCGCCGGTTTGAAGCTCGGGGCAAAGAGCTTCCTCAGGTCACATATAGGTTATTCGGACAGAAGAAGATTCTAGACGGAGGGACAAAACAAGATGCACCAGTGGAACACACCGCAGGAGGCTCCACGAAGGTCAATGCACTCGTCAGGAAGTGGGGCGATCTTGCTCCAACTCGGCGCGGTCTTCCTGGCAGGGTCAAGGACGACCAGGCCGAGGGCGCACCCACGGCCAAGCCGATCGCGTTCCGCATCACCATCGCCAGGGACTTCTCGGAGGACTGGCTGCGGGCTCAAGCATCATCCAAGCCCGCGGCAGTTGGAGGGCTCATCTTCAACGCGCCGACAGCGAAGATGACCCTGCAGACGATGGGAGCTGTGGGATACGAGACGGAGGTCGCGGCAATTATCCTCGTGGCCCCCGACAGCAAGAACAAGTTCCTCGAGCGCGCCCTCCCAGAGGGTGTGTTCTTGAATCAGCAAGCCCCTCCTCTTGTACCGGTTTGGCACAGGGCACGAGATCAGGAGTCCTTGGCCAGCTGCTACACCAGGGCCTGCGGGGTCGACAAGACTTCGGAGGGACGCCCGGTCTGCAAGCCGAGTGACAACAGCAGCTTGGGAGTATTATCGACGAAAGTGGTTGCCGCGGACATTCAGCCGCGCTGGATCTTACAGAAAACACCTTTCTCTTGGGCTGACGCCGAGACGGTCACCAGCTGGGCCACGCAGAGAGGTTTCAAGAACGTCAGCGGCGTCGTCCGCTGCGGGGCCCGCAGGTGGTTCCTCCGAGGCGACATCGAAGCTCTGGAGAAAGATCGCGTGCTGGAGTTCCGCTCTGGCATCATGGCCCCCCTGGCAGCTCCGAGACGACAGACGAGACCCCAACGTCTGGCAAGTCGGCGACAGCCTGGGGGGCCCCCGCACCTGATCGCTCGAGCGACGCCGAGAAGGAAGAGGGCGCACACGTGCAGGACGGCCCCAAGTTAACTTCGGATGGAGGGGAAGGGCCCAAGCCATAGAAAACACCCAAAGAAGAAGGTCAAGCAGAGGCACGTCGCATCCCACAGGCAGCTCCGTGGGAGGCCTACTTCAAGGAGAGGGAGTGCGGCAGCAAGGGCGACTGCTTCTACTGCTGCGCTTCGCACCACAAAAACATGCCCCGCACGAACCACGAGCCACTCTCGGCTGAAGACACAGGAGCTGGGTGAAGGTTGCAGGCCACACCACGCGCGAGCGCGGCGGCGGAAGTCCTCCAGATGAAGGTTCCAGCAAAAGCTGCAGCAGCTCAAGGCAAGAACGGTACTTGGGCGAACTCTCAGGCGCTGTGAGCAGCGGCGAAGATACTCAAGACAGATTTCTAGGTCGGGAAAAAGCAAGGCGACCAATGGAGGTAATGCACTTCTCCAGCGGACGTTGTTACCACATCAAAGTGTTGGTTTACTGTTGCCAATGGCCACTACAAGTTGCTCGGCGGCGCGACGGCGGTTCCCCCGACAGTCGAAGCCGAATGGCGACAACGAGCTCTACCATATCCCCATCACTTCACAGGTGGCGGTTCGACCGAGGGGGGCTCGATCAGAAGCGCCTCGCCCAAGCGATCCTTGCCAAGCAGGGGGGCGCGTCGCGCCCTGGGCTTGGCCGCGCCGTCCAGAGCCGCGCCTCCCCGTCCTCTCTCGAGCAGGGCTGCACGCAGTATCTGGGGCCTATCCACGCCGAAGTCGAAGGCGAGGGCCAGGTCCTCTGCCTCGGCGAGACCACTCTCAAGCAAAGGGGCCCGAAGTATCCTGGGGTTGGCCAAGCCGACGCCGAAGGAGGGTCCACAGCCTCCCTCCACAAGGGGGGCAATAAGTGTCCTGGGAGATGAAGATCACGATTCCGAGCCCAAAGCTGTCCAACCACGTGAACATCAGTTTGCCCATTGGAATTGCCAGTGCGGCTGGAAGCCAGACCTGGAGAACCAGACGGCGAACTCTATCAGGGGCCAGGCCAGGCCCCACTGGAGGAGATGCCAAGGTCTCGACCTTCCACCTGAGCCAGCCGACACCAGGAAGCTACGATACAATGTCAACCCCGTCGCGGCTACGTCCCAGGGCGAGAGCGACGAGGCCCGGAAGAACTTCGGCAAGTGGTGGGACGACCAGCCGCCCGACATCAAAGAGGTCTCCTGCGAGATCAACGAAGCCAGTTGTCATGCGATTCAGAGGTCCACGATGAGGCAGACGTACTACACGTCCGTGAGGTGCGGCAAGAACACATGTCTCTCGCGGGCCAAGTCTACCCCTTGCTACGGGCGCCCAGCTGGCATTTCTTTCAAGGACGCCATGACGAGGAAGGCGGGAGCGGCAAAGATGGAGCATTTCCACCAGAGGACCTACAGGCAAGTCAGGACGAGTTGGAAGAAGAGGGCTGCTCGGGAGCCTGACTACTACAAGAAGTACTACGCCCAGCACGGCCGCAAGCAGTACGCGCGGAGGACGGCATTGGGAATCGCCCCAATGAAGAAGCGGAAGACCATCACGAAGAACGAGCTGCAGGCCCTCTACATGCGCCGGCGCGAACGATACGCCGCCCGCAAGGCTGCAGCAGCAGCGCCCCCCTCGTGGCGGGATCCGCTCCTGGGCGGCGGGCGGAGGCGCACGTCGACGCCCCCCCAGGAGCCGAGTCAGAAGAAGCAGCGAATCGAGTGTTCTGAAGCGGGGATCTCTGAAGGAGAGCCTCGCAACAAGAGAGCGGGTGCAAGTTCATCTTCCTCCTCAGCTTTCAAAGCAAGCAGCGATACTCGGGCCTCGCCATCAGGGGGGCCCAGGAGAACGACGCATACACCGAGAAGATGATCTTCAACAGATGCCAGTTTCACAGCTCACCGAAGACCCCACCCAAGACGAAGCAGAACGACACGCACACCCATAAATTGATCTACAACAGGCGCCAGTCCCAGGACTCACCGAAGATCCCACCCAAGACGAAGCAGCACCGCCCGCCCCGACACCATCGAGGTTAGCGATCTGTTATGTTAACATTACCAATCTCAAGAAAGCAAGGTTCACGACTCCGTTGGATTCCGCTTCCGCCCAAGAGGCGGGCGCGGCACGCATGCAAGAGTCTCGGCATCATGAAGAAGGACCTCGTTGGATCATGCAACAAGCAGCACGCGCAGGGTGGAGCGCAGCCTGCCCCGCACCACCACCCATCGTCATCGCCAGGGGCCACCAGCGAGGAGCACCTCGACAAGGCGGCTGCATTGTTCTCTGGAGGCGGCCCCTGGGAAAAGCCACGGCACTACGCAACTCTCAGCCTGGTCACAGGATGATCGGTATCCGGTTCCCTTCGGCCACCATTCTTTCGGTCTACGAACCTGCAGAAGTCAATGGTAATTGGATACAGGACGCGTTCACCATCTTCCAGAACATGAGCATCATAGGCTGCCCTATCCACGCGGTGGGAGACATCAACTGGAGACGCATGCACCAGGATGCCGCAGTACAATGGAAGATCAATACCACGAAAACAGGAGTAGATGCGTCTATCACGGTTGCGGGGGCGCAGCCCACACGGGCCCTCCACCGGGGGCCAGGTGCTCCAGGGCGTCTGAGGCCCCCCGCCACGCGCGATCCTGAAAGGGGGAAAACATACCTTCGAGGGCGCGACGCCTTGTCAGAGACCACTGGCCCACCGGAGGACTGGCGCGACAGGCGGCCCCCAGATAGAGCACCCATACAGCGCGCTCAGCTGCGAGCGAGGCCCCTCGGATAGCCGGCGCCCCCCCGGACAAACGAAGCAACAGAAGCCCGGGGAACTCCTGTAAAACATCCGAAGACCATGCTGCCAAAACCAGCGGCAGGTCGAAGACCTGCGATATGGGGCCCGCTCGTGCGGGCGCGGGGCCGGGGAGGCTTATTCCTGCACTGCTGGACTACTCTGTGCCTCGGCCTCGCGCAGTGGAAACGGCGCCCCCAGCGAGCCCGGGCCCGTCGCGCCCTGGCCTTTTGCTCCGGCGCCAGCTCCTCTCCGAGGGGGGCTGTAACAAACGCCGCCGTTGACGGGCGCGTCGACGCGACGTGCAGCTGCGACTTGGCAGCCAGCTTCCTGGGCGAGGCATAGATGACCGCCCTGTCCCCCGCCTCCCCGGCAACTTGAAAAACGTCGGAACTCTGCGCGAGCTCGCCGGCACCCTGGACCAGGGCTGAAAGGGTGACCTTCTCGGGGCCACGCGCGGACACCGCGTCGCCGTCGACGCGCGACCCAGGGGGCGCGCCCCAGCCCCGAGCGAAATCGAATCAAACTTACAAATAGCGCAAGCCTCCGCGAACGCATCGCCAAATATGTCTCCAGCGGGGGAGGCGCACTTAGCGAACTGGATCAGGGGCAGCAGCGCGCCCAAAATCTGAAAATACGAAGGGGGCCCCAGAGCTTGCTGAGGGCGTCGATGAGCACCATCGGGGGCCCCCAGCACATCCAGACCCGCGCGCCAGGAGAGCCTGCAGGACTCGCGGAATTTCACGCCATCCCATGTAGAACCAGCCGCGCATTCACCCCTGCCCCCTCGGCCCTAACACTCTGCTGCCAAACGGATAACTCCGAGCTGCATCCCGCGCCGCGGGACAAGCGGGCGGGCGCCGGGCCCTTGCGGCCCCGGGAGAAGGACGGGCCTGAGACCGCCGCTGGGCATTTGCGGGAGCGGCATAAGCATCCGCGGCAGCTGGGCGGGGGAGACGCCGAGGCGCTCTACGACCTCGTAGAGCACGGCGAGAATCCCCAGTCCTTCGCTGTTCAGAGCAGCCGCGCGACGCGGGCGAAATCCGCCCAAAGCCCAAAAAACGCGGCGGCCGAAGCCCCCCGGGGCCCCTCGGATCTCCCCGACGGAAGCTCGCGGGGAGAAAACAATCTCCGCAAGGGGCCTAGGCCTCGAGGGGGGGCGACCCCTGCTCGCCAGAAGGCGCCCACCTCGCGAGCCCCGCCCAAGCTGAGCCCGGGAGTCTGCACTGCACGTGCCCAGGGCCCCCAGGATAACCGCCGGTTGCAAAACCTTCCTGGACCGGTAAACCTGCGCATAATCTACGCGGGGCCGGCCACTCATCCCAGGGCGTCTGCTGCGCGCGAGCCCCATCGAGGCCGTCTTGATCCGGATTTTCCAGTGCGCCCCCAACAAATACAGAGCTAGCCCAAACGCTCTCGCTGAGGGGCGCCCCCCAGCGCGAGCCAGAGCCCCGCCAAGTCTCGCGCGGCGCGCAATGGCGCGCCAAGTCTGACCGAGAGGCCCTCTCGGAACAAGGGTTCTGGAGCGACGCCTGCAGCTGCGCGCGACCGACGGCTGCGCCGCGATGAAAACGGAAGGAAAAAACTGGCCAGTGCACTTCCAATCCGCGACTAGCCAGAGCAGACCCTCTGGGCCCGTCGGCCGAATCTTACCTAGAAATATAACAGAATAAAGACCGCGAAGCTCTTATGGCCCCGGATATTTCTCTGATCTCCGCGGCATCAACCCCCGGCATCTGACTCAGCGCCAACTCAACCACGCCTACAAAGCGCGCGAGTGGGCACCCAAATTGCTGAGAACCTGCCACGCCGAGCGCGCTGAATCATGGGCCGACCGCCCGGGCGCCCCCGAGCGCCCGCGCAGCGAGCGCGAAGGCGCCCGGATGAACTGCCGGGCGAGGTCGCGAACCGAAAGGAGCATCCACAGGAAAACGCCGATCAGCGCGATAAGCTAGCTGGCAGAAAGTGGAAGCATCAGGGCGCACCTTGAGCTGGACTGGGCAACGCGGCATGACTACCCACGACCCCTCACACTAGCCTGGGAGCCCCAGGGCCCATGAGAAGGCGCTCAATGATAGCGTTGCCAGCTGGGGCCCTGCAGGCGGGGAGCCATCACCAAAGCGCCAAACTTCCTTGGGGCTCCGGAGACCTACAGACAAGCCGGCGACACATTCCAATCCCCCGCAATGATGGCGTGGGCGGGGTCGTGAATGGCTTCGCCTAAACTTCGCCAGGATCTCCAGGTTGGCTTCGCTGAAGCCATCCGCCGTCTCGAGGTAGACGGGCAACAACGAAAAAGTAGGCCGCCCAAGAAAACAAACCAAGACTTCATGATTCTGCCATCAACAACTCGGCGGTGTCCCTTCGGGGCCATCAGGGACCCAGCGCAAGACGACCGAAGATCGCAGCAACGCGCGACAACTTGCCAGGGCGACGAGAGCACGCCGTCGCAAGCAGTTGCCGATGACGTTGCCAGCCCCGCATGCTAGGCACTGACCCCCACTTCCTGCGCACACGTCAATAGAATCCCCTGGGGCGCCTCCGCGACGAGGCCCAAACATGAACCATTGAAGCTTAAGATCTGGAACGGCCAAGTTTGCCTGTCATCCTTGGGCCCCCTTCAACGGTGGGGCAGGGGCGCCAGCCGAAAACATAAGCGCGCCTGAAACACGAAGGACTGGGAGCCGATTAAGCTCGCCACCCAAAAGGCTGCTTCTTAGCACGTACCCCGAGCGCGGTGGGCAGTGGGGCAAACTCTGATGCCCCTTCCCGTGAGCTGCCGCCAAAAAATGGTTGCACCTTCTCCTCGCATAAGCCTCATGTCTACATCGCCTGATCCCGCCGGCGCGGCTTCGCCTTCTGACGACGCTGCCCCTGGGCCAGCTGGACGGGCGGCTGCTGAATAGGTGGTCGCGGCATGGCGACCACTCTCGCCGCCATGAGCTCATTGAGTTTCGCAAATGCTGAAATTGCCAACATGGCCTTGGCCTCCACTGCACCACCTGCACCGAGCACTTCAGGAGGAAGCTCAAGATCGATGACTGATACACCAGTGGCATCCGGGTGACCTGCAGATGCAACCGCGCTCATAGCCGACTGGAACTGCAACTTGATGGCCTCGACATCCACCTTGATGTCATGCTGTCTCCCTTCCACGTTGGCGACAGCCCGCTGTGTGTCGAGGTCCAGCTCCCTCTGTTCCTCGACGTCCAGACTGAATTTTTCCATCCTCCTCCCTGATCATCGTGATCCGCTGTGTCGCCGTTGGAAACGCCTGCACCAAATCCCACCTTCGGAAATACATGCGCCCACCCAACTCCCACGTCCACCACTGGCCGCGGCAAACGTAGTAGATGTGGACTATTTGTCGACCTTCTGCATGGTAGGCTTCTCCATGGCCGCGGGTTGGCTGCCGATGTCGATTGGTGGGCCGCTGGCCCATGCACCTCGGGGGAGACGGGCTTGCCCACCAGCTGGGCCACCTTTCGAAGGAGACGGACCAGCGACATCAGTATTGCGACGAGCACGAGCCACGATGGACTTCAGCGCTGGCTGCCCACAGTGGCATCTGATCCGACTGGCAAGATGTTGTATCCTGCCGCATGTCAGGAACCCCCACTTGGGTTCTGCCTGCCCTGAAATTCATCGGGATCAGCGTCGCGTGTCATGCAACTCTAGTGAAAGAGAAAACACGGGTTGCCCCCAGATGGGCGGTGCGAGGAAACAAGAGGGTTGGGTTCCGACGAACGAAAAGCAAAGAACCAAACACTTGGCCCGCAACAGCGATTGCCGATCTGAAGAAACACTGCTGCAAGCCCAACAGCGTTGGGCCAGAACGCCTGCGGGAGAGAAAAAACCAAACAGGGGGAAAAGGAGGAGAAGGAGGATATGGAAAGGGTGTGGAGGAGGAGCAGGAGGGGGAGGACGAGGAGGAGGACAAGACAACAAATCAACCCACGCTTGCATGGGGGGGCACCAACACGAAAAAAACGAAACGGCAACGGGGAGTTCGCGAGCGTGTGTGACAGTACGCCGAATCTGCCCGCCACATGGAAAGTGCAAAGATAATACCACCAACCCCCTGGGCGAAGGTGGTATAATGATCTGTGCATTTCCCAATGCCAAAACCAATGTTTCCCCGAATAAAGACCCCCTCCCTAGGCGACTGGCAACCAAGCATGACCCATGCCGACCCCCCCCCGCACCATCCCTGCCAAAAAACTTACAGAACACACCTTCTATCCGAATCTGGAGCATGCACTGGCGCCCCGCGATCACTCTGCAGCAGTTTTGGAAGGGACGGCGGGGAGGTGGGTTCAGATTGTTCGCTGTGGGCAGGCCAACCATCCCCGTCAACAAAAAACATATAGGCATGTTGCTTCCAAATCTGGAGCATACGCGGGCGCCCCGCGACCACGTTGTACTGGTTTTTGATAGTGACGGCGGGGGGGGTATCATATTGCTTGCTGCGCCGAGGTCAACCATGCCTGCCAACTTACAAAACAAAAGATGCATTGCTCGCAAATATTGAGCATGCATTGCTTACCCCGCGACCACTTTGCATTGGTTTTCGACCAGGGCTTTCGGGTGCTACTCATGTGTTGTGAGGGCGGGTGGGACTGAACGAGACGGCTTGCGCCTTGTGAGCAGGAGGTGTCTGATCATTGTTCCTTACGAATATACACCCCCTTCCCCACCCGGCCAGCGGCCAACCCGGAAACATGCCGATTCCATGCGGGCCCGTCCCCCACCATCCCGGTCAACAAAAAATACAAGCCGCACTCTGCCTCCACATTTGGAGCATGCGCGGCCAACCCGATGCGCCCCCCCACACCATCCCTGTCAAAAAACAATGCAGGTCTTAAGTCATGTTCGTGAGGCCCGCGAGCATTTTGCATTGTTTTCGGCAGGGGCGGCGGGGGTGTCAGCATATTCCCTGCTGCGCGCAAGGCTACCATCCCTGACAAAGAACAATGCAACAATGCGCGGCCAACCCGCGATCACTGTCAAGTAGTTTTCGACACGGACGGCAGGGGTGGTGGCGCGTGGCCTGCTGCGCACAGGCCCACCAGACACAACGATGGGCACTGGTTTTCGACAAGGATGGAGGGGCCGACATGTTTCCCGGTGTGCGCTGTCACGTGCGCAAGCGCACCTGACGCACTCTGCATGTGCCCCGAACGTGGCGCACATGGCGCGACTGGAGTGTGCAGCACACCTGGCGCACTCGGAGCAGGTGGCGAATCTGGCGCACCAGGCGTGCCTGGCGCGCTCGGGCCCCAGCGGTGCCTGGCGCGCGTGGCGCCCCTGGCACGCGTGGCGCGCCTCGCCCAACCGTCGCGCACCTGGGGTCGGCGTTGGTTCTCAGTAGCTGTCCATCTCAAGACGACCGCTGGACATGCTCAGGCTCGGGCGTTACTTATGTGTTGGGAGGTCGGGCAGGAGTGAGCTAGACGGATTGCGGGTGGGTGGGTAGCTTGACCCCTCCCCACCCCCCCCCCTGGGCCTGGACGGGGGGAGGGCCCCAGGTGTCAGAGGGCCACTATTGGTCCAGAATGGCTCCAAGAGCGCTCCAGTTGCTGCAAGATGGCCTCCAAGATGGCTCATTTTTTTGTTTACCACGATAGCCCAGCAGATGCACACGTCCCAGCGGTCAGCGCGGGGCACAGGACAGGAGCCTAGAACGATACGAATTCCCCGTAAAACGTATCCGCGACAAGGGGGGGAGGGGGAGGACGAGGAGGCGAGGAGGGAGGAAAAGGAGGAACTGGCAAACAAGTCCACGGCGTTGTGTGTGCATCCCTATAGCCCAAATGACCATTCATATAATAAGGCACAACACAACGACGATCAAGCGGAGCGACAGCGTGCTTAGGATACGAATTAGCCCATAAAACGTATCAGCAGCAAGTGGGAAGGAGGAGGAGAGGTAACAGCACATTCACAGCCGACAGGCTCCACGTGCAGGCGAGCTAAAACAGAGGAACAGGCAAGCCGTGCACCAAAGCACGGAGTGGCCTGGACAGGCAAGTACGGTGATATACTTAGAGTCAATGATCATGGGGGCACGGCGGCGCCCCAGACAAGCCTTAACCCCTAAGGCGGCAGACAGCCAAGTCCGTGGCGAGAAGGCACAGAGTCAACCGTCCGCGGCCGGGGGGGGGCCGGGTGTGACATGCAAAAGAAACAACTCGCAACACCTAACATGCAAGAGAAGAGCGGGAGTGGCAGGAGGGAGCGACCCAGAGAGGACGGGGAGGGGAGAACACTCGCGCCGGGGCCCTCAGAGCTTGTAGATGTCGTTGCTGCGCGTGGTGCCCTGGTCCCCG